GAGAGGAGAGGAGATGGGAGTGGGCAGACTGAGGGGGTAAGGGAGGGGTCTGCCTGAGACTTGGAGTCAGTGTGAGTGCGCTCAGGGAGCGGGGTGCTTTAGGACCCGCCCGGTGTTGCCGGAGCCGGGGCTGGAGCCGTCTCTCAGCCTGGCGCTGGGGGCTCTCACTGGGACATAGCCTGCCCTGTTCCAAGCCTCAGGCAGCATGAGGAGGCTCCGGGTGAATGCTGCCGCGCTGCTAACACTCGCCTGGATCCTGGGCATGTTCTACTTCTGGTGGCAGGACAGCAGGGCCAAGGGCCAGGGCCAGCGGCAGGGTAGCGAGCCCCGGAGTCCCGGTGCTCTGAGGCACGGCGTTGGCAGCAGCAGGCTGCAGGAGGTGAGTACAGCCCAGCTCGGGCAGGGGAAGAATCAAACATTGGCGTCTCCTATCATAGCACGCATTCTCATCTCTCTCTCTCAACACTATCATCCGGTTATGGTTTATCGATCTGCTCTACATTTCCCTCCATTATCCCCTCCGCTACCACCCCCCCCCATCGTCTAGCCATTCCCCATCTCCATCTGTCTATAATCGCCCAATCTACTCTGTATCTCTGTCGCTGTTTTTCTGTGTCTAAACCTCTCTTTGTACCTCGCCACTCTCTATCTCTGTATCTCTATTTCTGGCTGTATTTCTCTATCTCTGTGACTAAATCTTTCTATTTCGCTGTGTCTTTCTCTCTATTATACTCTCTCTATCTATCTCACTCTGTATCTATCTTCCTGTCTCTCCATCTTGAATTCTAAGGTTTGATTTGAAGGCATTTGTCATGAATTAAAACCAGCCTGATAAAACAATGTGGGGTGGAAAGAGAGAGAGAATTAGGGAGATGAGAGAGCAAGTGGGGACAGAAACGTGAGGGGATGTGTGTGTGTGAGAAAGAGAGACAGCAATGAGAGAAAGATGTGAGATGAATTCATCTCGATGATGTCAAGAATCAAGAGGGAGAATAATCGGGGAGAGTGGGGGGGGGGAAGAAAGAGGGGGGGGCGAGAGAGGGAAGAAAGGGGAGGGGGAGAGAGAGGGAATGAAGAGGGAGAGTGGGAGGAGGAAGAGTAAGGGGGTGTGAGTGAAGGGGGGGGGACAAAAGGGTGTGAGAGAAAGAGAAGGGGAGAGACTGTGGGTGAGAGGGGAGAGTAGGGGTTGGGAGAGTAGGGATAGTGAGGGGGTGGGGTGCAGGGAGGGAGGAGTCTGTTTGCAGTCAGGATGGGTTCCTGTTACTCGTCGCTGAGATAGTGCTGCTAAGCATCAGGCTTGCAAATAAAATCAAACCCATATCTTTACACTTAGAAATCTACGAATTTGGTAAAGTAAATAGTGTCCACATGTTTCACTGGATTTTTTTTTTGAAAGTAAATGAAACATTTTATTAAAAATGCTGTCTTTAATATAGCATGAGATAAACGTGTGATATTTACTGTGATCTATATTTATAAAGCTGTCTTTTTTGTGCTGAATTCAGTTCACAAGATGTGGTTGCTTGTTCTCGCAGTCATCATAGAGTACCTCTTGTATTCTGTGGTTGTTTAAAGATATGAGTGTGATCTTGGAGTCAGCTCATCCAGAAGTGGGCAATTTCCACTGGTGCTTTAGTTAGCTTGTCCTTGATGTACTCAATAGTTTGCCTCATGAGAAGTCAATTTTTTGTAAAAAGAAGCATAAGGGGAAAGAAATTGCATTAATTTTGTGCATTGCCAGTGACCGTAAGTGTTTGACTGATGTCTCCCAGCTTCAGCACTAATTTACATTTTGCTAGCGCCTTTGGTGGTAAAACATTCCATAGTGCTTCCCTGGAACAGAAAATGAACGTTGAGTCATTGGGCCAGTTGTGGCTCAGTTTTAAGAAGCAACTTGCCAGAGGAGGTGCATAGTGAGGTGGGGTGTGGGGTATGGGGTATGGGGTTCAGGGATAAAATTCCAGAGCTTGGGACCTTGATATCTGAATGGTCACTCAATGGTGTGTTGGAAGAACCAGGGATATGTGCAAGAGTCTAGAGCTGATGAAAGCAGAGATCCTAAAGCTTTGTGTGCATTTGATTATCCAAACGAAAGAAAAGATTGGGATGAAACAAAAGCTGACAAATACAAGGAATCCAACCAAGTTTTTTTTTGTTGCTTTATTTGTGTGCATATGTGTTGGGAGGAGTGGAATATTTAAAGTGTCACCAAATGTTACAGTGAGTGATATTTTCATTAGGCTCAACTTGGTCATCGCAGGAACGCATTGTATCATACCATTATCTGTAAGAATGTAAAGCTGGGCTGTAATGACGGAGAGAACTGTAAACCCTCATGTTAATAAAGACACCAATATATTATGAAACGTGATCTCTGTAGAACGCAGCGAGAACAAGTTCTTTGACCTGACTGCAATTTCCGTCAGGATCATTTTGTAAATAATCTTATGCAAATGTAATCGCTCTATCAATCTGGCTTCACTCGCAAGGATTTGGCATATGTAGCTGTGGTTGAATTAAATAACCCACTGTCTTCGTGGAGAGTGAGAGAGAAAAGTGTTTGGCAAGCTATTTCTCATTTGTTTGAAAGCCATGATTTTGGGAATTGTGTGGTTTCAGTTGTTGGCCCAATTACTCTGATTAAAGACATCTGTGGCTTTTCATTGTTGCAGTAAAGCAATGTTTGAGGTATTGCCCTTTTGATCAAATCAAGCCATAATTTGCCATGAAAGTAATGGCAGTAAAATTAATACCACTGCCTGTTATTTCTGCTCAGATGGCACAGTCATTTCTGGTGTGGGGATCAGACACACAGTTAAACGCATTATATAGAAGTTGCAGACCATATTGTATTCCTCTGATGTTAATGTCACCAGAAATGGCAACTTTCTGTCTGGCTAGTCATTAGGATACAAGAATAATGTGAGGTTGCTACATAAAACTCACCTCAAATAATTAGGCCAGTAATTAGAGTCGTAGAGTCGAACAGCATGGAAACAGACACTTTGGACCAACCAGTCCATGTCAGCCGTAATCCCAAACTAGTCCCACCTGCCTGCTCGTGGCCCTTATCCCTCCAAACATTTCTTATTCTTTTAAACGTTGTAACTGTACCTGCATCGACTGACTTCCTCTGGAAGTTCAGTCCACACATGAACCACTCTCTGAGTAAAAAAAAATTACCCTGATGTCTTTTTAAAATATTTCTCCTGACCTTAAAAATATGCCCTGTGGTCTTAACTCACCATCCCCCAAACAGGGCTATCCAGGACATTGGTGAGGCCACTTTTAGAGTACTGTGTGCAATTCTGGTCTCCCTGCTATAGGAAGGATATTGTTAAACTTGAAAGTGTTCAGAAAAGATTTACAAGGATGTTGCCAGGACTGGAGAGTTTGAGCTATAGGAAGAGGCTGAACAGACTGGTGATGTTTCCCTGGAGCATTGGAGGCTGAGGGATGACCTTGTAGACGTTTATAAAATCATGAGGAGCATGGACATGGCGAATAGCCAAAGTCTTTTTCCTAGGGCAGGGAAATCCAAAACTAGAGTGCATAAGTTTGAGATGAGAGGGGAAAAATTTAAAAAGGAGCTGAGGGACAACATTTTCACACAGGGTGGTGCATGTATGATGAACTACCAGAGTAAATGGTGGAGGTGGGTATAATTACAACATTCAAAAGGTATTTGGATGGGAACATGTATAGGAAAGTTTTAGAGGGATATGGGCCAAATGCTGGCAGATGGGACTAGATTAATTTAGGATATCTGTTTGGCATGGACAAGTTGGACCAAAGAGTTTGTTTCAGATGATTCTATATAGTGAGAACAGTTAGCTGTCAATCTTCAGTCTCAGACCAGACAGGTAAATTCTGATTGGTTGGGATGTTGCCATGGGAATGTAACAGAATTTAGCAGTTTCCCTGAACCCTTTTCCTTCATGGAAGAGGAGCAATATGTGTATGATTCTGTTTGCCTACATAAAGCAGGAATGGCTTACAGCACATACAATTAATTAATATGTCTTCTATCTTGCAATAACTTGGATTATTGCGTACAGTTCTGGTCACCGCATTATAGGAAGGATGTGGAAACATTGGAAAGGGTGCAGAGGAGATTTACCAGGATGTTGCCTGGTATGGAGGCAAGGTCTTATGAGGAAAGGCTGAGGGTCTTGAGGCTGTTTTCGCTAGAGAGAAGAAGGTTAAGAGGTGACTTAATAGAGACATACAAAATGATCAGAGGATTAGATAGGGTGGACAGTGGGAGCCTTTTTCCTCGGATGGTGATGGCTAGCACGAGGGGACATAGCTTTAAATTGAGGGGTGATAGATATAGGACAGATGTCAGAGGTAGGTTCTTTACTCAGAGAGTAGTAAGGGTGTGGAATGCCCTGCCTGAAAAAGTAGTAGACTCGCCAACTTTAAGGGCATTTAAATGGTCATTGGAGAAACATATGGATGATAATGGAATAGTTTAGGTTAGATGGGCTTCAGATTGGTTTCACAGGTCGGCGCAACATCGAGGGCCGAAGGGCCTGTACTGCGCTGTAATGTTCTATGTTCTATGTTCTATGTTCTATGTTCTATGTTCTATGTT